CCCGCCAGGGTGCTTACCTTGGCAAGCCGTGTGCCGAACGTTGCCGACCCCTGTACTAGGCAGACTAACGGAAAACTTTTCTTTAGACTTCTTGTTTGTAAATGTGTTTGGTTTTGTTCAGAGAAGACATGGCCAACAGAGTCAATCAAATTTATTTTAAAATAACACACTAAAAATTATATTTTATAATTTGGGGTGCTGTACATATTTTTCTTTGAATTTTAATCATTAATTCTACTAAAGGGACGGTACGTACATAAAAAAGTTGGCTCTGAGTGTAATTGTATGACAGGATTACTTGTGATGGTAAGGGGCAGGGCTCAACAGCCCTGGGGCTCACTTCTGGTTTATGTTCTATGTTCTTAAAGCTCATGCTTCAGGGTTTCAGCCAGCCACTGCTCATGGCAGGGTCGTGAAGGGATTTTTCGCCCCCAATGTGTTCTGGAAGGTTGGGGTTTTTTTAATCTTTTTCCTCTGAAGCCTCGGATGACCATGGCTAGAGAAGGGACATTGCATGGTCTGGGCTAGGGCTCTGAGGTGGCACTGAGCATTCTCTCTCTCTGAGGTGCTTGGCTGGCCAGTTCTTGCCGACAAGCTCTAGTACAGGGGTGGGCAAACTACGGCCCGCGGGCCCCGCGATGCTCTCCAGAAGCGGCCGGCACCACTTCCCTGAGGCCCCCAGGCGGGGGGCAGAGGGCTGTGTGCGTTGCTCTTGCCTCCAGGCACCGCCCCCGTCAGCTTCCATTGGCCGGGAACAGGGAACCGCGGTCAATGGGAGCTTCAGGGGAGGTACCTGGAGGCGCAGCAAGGGCAGCACACACGGAGCCCTCCACCCTCCCTTGTGCGGGGACAGGGCAGGCAGGCAGAGATCCTGCCCTGGCCCTGGTGCGTGCCGCTGCCACCCTGGAGCCCGAAGCCCTCGTGCACCCTGCCCCCCAGCTCCCTGCCTGCACCTCACACCCCTCCTGCACCCCAACCCCCTGCCCTGAGCCCCCTGCTGCACCCCTGCCGCACCCTGCACCCCTCCTGCATGCCAGCCCCCTTCCCTGAGC